TGGATGGATGGATGGATGGATGGATGGATGGATGGATGGATGGATGGGTGGATCCATTTTTTGGAATCTTATATCATGTAGAAAAGTTAGTTTTCAAAATGGCTGCATTTGTTCTGCTCAGATTTAAACTCTGTTAAAATGGTTGTTTAAAGGAAACATGTAAAAGGTAAAGCTGCTCCTCTAGCTGCGTTTTGTTGGTACTGAATTCAAAATGAACTTCTTATCTGATCTTTGGTTTAAACTTTTCTAAATATCAAGTCTCGCTGACTGTTTCCCGTGTTTGAACTGCATCTGTCAAAGCTCTGAAAAGCTAAACAGCCGACAGGTCCTGAGTTCATGCGTAGGACATTCTGCCCAGGTAGTTGGCCGGGACGTATCCTTTCTGTCCGTTGGCCTCAGCCAGCCACCACTCTTTGTTGCCCCCCAGGTCAGAGAACTTCAGGATACGAACATGCTGGTACTCCTGCAGGGACAGCTCCTGGTCACAGCGTGCGTGAAATGCGTACACCGCATAAAACTGTGGAAACAGACAGAAATCACTCAGATGATTTGAGTTCAGGCCGTGCATCCTCCAGTAACTCCAGCAGGTGGCGCTGTATACCTGCTTTCTACCTGAACCTGTCTGCCTGTTACCTCACCTATCACTGGAAGAATTCTGATGGTTACCCCACACATACCTGCTGAGCATCCGTGTCTGCTGGATCCACCAGCTGCTCCCCGCTCTCCAGCTCCAGCTGCACACTGGAGAGGGTGGAGAGGTTGGAGAGGGTGGAGCTGCTGTCGGCGGTGCTGAGGTTGATGCTGCGCAGGCTGCTGCTGCCTGACACGAACAGGCTGAGGTCATCAAAGTCCTCATCGTCCATGACCGTCTGCTGCAGCTGGGTCTGCTGAGGCTGCTGGGCCTGCTGCTCCGAGGCCCTCTGAGCCGACCTCTGCGAGTCCCTCAGGGGGTTGTACTGCTTCACGAACGTGGAGTAGACGTAGCCCTGGGCTCCTAATGTGGGCAGGAGGCATGATATGTCAACATGGACAACATCTTGTCCGAGCATCTTAAAGACTTTACATTTTATTTAAAGGACATGTGCCGTGCACAACGATTTGATTCACTGGAATGCTGCTTCAACAAACTCTGACATCTAAAAATAGCTCGAGTCTTTTCAAACAAACACGTTTATTCCTGAGATTAAGTAGTTGGTGAACTTTAGGAGGCACAACTAAGCCTGAGCATAATTAAAATAAGATTCAGATTCCTGGAAGACAGGAGTTTGAGTCACTGCAAACTTTAAATTAAGAATGACATGATTTTATTTTATTTTATTGAATTTATTCTGGTCCCTTGAAAGTGTGACGACATCTCCAGTCCACTTTGTTCTCCGTCCTGCTTGGACCAACTGTTAGCTCGTCAATCCAGCAGGGACATATTTGATTTTGAGCAGGAATCATCTGTCTGTAAATGTTTAACTGACAAATCTTTTAATTAGTTCATTTGTGACGGAGTTGACTTTTTCTGTTTTTGCTATGAACGTTCTGTAACTTGTGTGCTGCTGCCGGTCTTGGCCAGGATTCTCTTGCAAAAGAGATTTTTAATCTCAATCAGATTTTCCTGGTGAAATAAAGGTTAAATAAATAATGTTTGTTTCTCAAAACTGGAGTCGTTATCTGCAGCAGGTAAGATAATGAATATCTTCACAAGGTCTGACTGATCCCAATAGATAAATTGTATTTCCTGTGAAGATGAAGTGTGGATGCTTATTGCTGAGGAACTTGCTGAACAACAGCTGGATTTTGGTAAAACCTTGCTGAAATGTAGCTGAAACGGAGAAACGAGCCTAGGTTAGCAGAAGAAAGCAGAAAGAACACGTTTTTGGAATTAGGTTTATATACCGTAAGCAGAAATGAGCACAAACAGTAAATTAGCTTTAAAAAAGCTGAAATTAGCAAAAAATAGCTGAAAAGGTAGAAATAACTTAAATTACCATAAAGAAGTAAAGCTAGCACAATTGTGCCCAATTAGAGTGAAAGAAGCAATTATCACAAAAAAGTGGAAATTATCTGAAAAAAGCAGAAAATAAGAAAAACAGCTGAATAGTAGTTAAAAAGGCAGAAAGAAGCTTAATTACCTGAATAAATTGGAGAGATCATAATTGTGCCAAATTAGGATGAAAAAAGCAGAAATTAGCACACAAAAAAAAGCAAATTATCTGAAAAAAGCTGATTTTTGGAGAGAGAAAAAAATACCAAAAAAAGCAAAAAGAAGCTTAAATTATCAGACTGAAGTGGAGAGAACACATGTTTGCTGAATTAGGCTGAGAAAAATTTAAATGAGTGCCAAACATGTGGAATTAGATGAAAATGCTAAAATTAGCATAAAATCAGCTAAAAAGTAGCTGAAATACCTGAAAAAGTGTATAAAAATTAGCTGAAAAGAGCATAAGCTGAAATTAGCTGAAATTTGAAAGGTTTAAATTTGCACAGTGAAGCTGAAAGAAGCTGAAGCAGAACAAAATGTGGAAGAAGCAGTAAAAGGTTGTAAACAGATCTAAAGATTTGAAGGATGTAAAATGAGCTCTATTAAATTTTATGAAAAAAAAAATCGCAGGAAAGAGTTAATATTTCAAAAAGCTAAAGTTGCACCAATACCAAAAGTCCCTTAGCACCTTCCTCCTGAAATGGATCACACTAGAGTGAATGCTTCATAAACATTCACATTATTAAACAGTACAGTGGTTTAACAACAATGAAACACTTCATATATTTCCATCTTAATGACTAACATCCAGGCAGCGATTAATTTATTAAACCCAGATTTATTTAGTGACTGAAGGATGTGTTCAAGCAAAGGAAGCACATCACCGTCGGCGTATAAGAAGATTAATCCTCCCAGAGGAAAAGACGAGTCTGTGAACAGCGTTCTCCTAACTGAGACACTCAGACTGGTTTAAGATTCACATGAAACTGGTGTTGCTGTGGAGAACAGCGAGGAGCAGGAAACCAGATGAACCACTCCAAGTTCTGAAAACCCAGAGGGAAAGGCTTCGTGTTCCCAGAAACATCCCAGAGTCCTGAGCCATCAGCTGATGGTGTGAGATGTAAAGTGGAAACAGAGACAACTTGTTCCTGTTGGGCAGCAACCAGCTCCAGAGGCACAGCAGCCATGACACTGCAGCCCCCCCCGGGACTCCACCCTGACTGCTGACTGGTCAGAAAGTACCTGAGCCTCAGGGCCGTCTGCAGGTGAGCCTGATCAGGTGTTGTCTGCATGCTGAGTCAGCACTGTTGTCCTGTTTATTCTTTCTTCTTCTGGCTCTGAACCATGTCAACAGCAGCCTGATCAGGAACCGTACACGCTGACTTTTAACTTTTAAATCTTTTAGAAGTCTCAAAATGTTCAACTTATTTACAGACATTTTCTGAAAAGACAATTCAGATCAACTGATCAATGATCAGTTCAGCTCCTTTAAAACATTTTCCACTTCTTCAGGAAAGTTGCTCTATTTTTGGCTTCTTTTGCTTCATCAGCTTCTCCTTTCTGTTTTGCTGCTTAGCTTTTGGCTACGATTTATCTGAATTTAACTTTTCTTACAGCTTTGCAAATGTTAGCTTTTAGCTATGGTTTTGGACATTTGTTTTTAGCCATGCTTTTGCAGAGTTTAGCTTTAAACAAGTGTTCAGCTTGTTTTGTTTTGCTTATTTTAGCTTTCAAATATGGTTATTCTGCTTTCAGCTTATAGCAACTGTTTGAGAGCTTTAGGGTTAAGCTGTTATAGATCATTTCAGCTTTTAAGAGTGGTTTTGCTCATTTTAGCTCTTTATTTTTGGCATTTAGCTTTCAGCTATGGTTTCAGCTTCTTCCCAGCAGATTTTAATAAAGTCATTCAGCATTCACACGGCACTTACACTGAAAATTACACACACACACACAAGCAAGCACACACACACACACACAGATTTTATCTTGTATCTTTATGGGGACTTTGCATTGACTTCCATTCATTGTTAATTCATTTCTATAGCCTAACCCACCAACGACACTTGAACCTTATGGGGACCAGACTTCAAAGAGCAGTTGATCCTCACAAAGTAACATGAACAAGCACACACACACAGAGTCTTACCTCCAGTGTCCACCAGCCAGCGGCAGCTGCTGCCTGAGGGGTCGGTGTCCTCCAGCAGGGCCACCAGCTCTCCCTCCAGCAGGCTGAGGTCCAGCTCCTGGCAGCCGTTGCACTTTCTCTTCAGCTGGTACAGACGGCTCAGAGGGTATTCTGACAGCAGCCAGGCACGCTGCTCCTCCGTCTGATGCTGCACCTCCGGCACCTGTAAGAGGAGTGATGGTGTAAATAGTGTAAAGCGGGTGTGGGCTCACACACAGGTGTGTTTTCAGTAATCTGTGTTTGTGTGTGCGTGTGTGAGGGGGGGAGGTGAGGGTGAGGACATCCTGAGCAGGGTGGGCTGTTACACCTGAATATATTCAGTTCTTTAGTTTATTCCTGTTGTCAGTCAGAAATTCATTTAGCTCAATTCATGTGAATCATTAATGTTCACGTTTGTTACGTTGATTTTAATCTTTTAGGTTGTGCCACATCTTTCAAACAACTCTACTAGTTTTCACAGAAACAGTAGGACATTTTGGAAACGTAACACGTCTAACCTGGTTATATTCTATTACCCAACAACGTTAAGTCAGGTCCTCTGGACAGTTTCTTTGTGTTCAAACGTCTTGTCTTTCATCTAAAGGACTTCATCAGTCCGAGGAGCCACAACAAACTCAGTCCCATAAGTGGCTTAGTGGGCCAACCAGTTAACTGGACCCATCTTACTACCATCATACAGTATTTGATGGTGCTCAGACGGTTTCTGGAGTCCGCTCTCTCCCCTGTCGACTCCTCCGAGGCAGCATGGCCAAAGTGGTTCAAAACATCAAACGGCATTTCGACTGAGTAAGTCCTTTGGATGAAAGATGAAATGTTTAAACAAAAATAAACCGTCCAGAGGACCTGACTTATCTTTGTTGGATTGTTTACTTGGATTATTGAGCATGAACTTTGATATAATCTATTACATTCAGCTCAACTCAGTATAATTTGTATGTTTCAATTAGCTTAATTCTCTCTTAATTATTTTTAAATATTCACCAGAAGACAAAGCAGTTGTTTGAACGTCCAGCGTTCAGTTCTCAACACATTTTCTGCATGATTTGAAGAATTTAATGAAAATGAATTTACAGGGAAATCTTTTGTTCTCTGCTGCAGCTGATCATTAAAAAACTACAAATCCTTTTAGAGTAAAAGTCTGTTGTTAATTCTTTCAAACAGTCACGCTTTTTGCTCCTCATCGTCAGTCAGCTGTGTGTGTGAGATCAACGTGGTGTGAAAATACACAGGGCAGATCCCGTCCACAGAGAGACACCGTCTGCTGGCAGGAATAACGATAAAAACCTGCTTGAGTTCATCAAACTGGACCAGAACGTGTACCGGAACAACACCAGATGTGACCAGTTGTCACTTTTAGCGCTGCCACTATTTCTGTTCAGAGTAATTAGAGTAACCTCCTCAACATGATGCCTCCACCACCGTGCTTCACAGCAAGGAGGTTGATCCACAACTTGATAGTTTGAAGAACTGGGCTTGGATCATCAGGTTCCCCCTCATGATCCCAGTCTGGAGCTGGTTGCAATTAGTAGTCAAGTCACATTTATTTATATAGCACATTTAAAAGAGTAACTGTTGTCAACGTGCTTACCAAAAAAGATCACAGCGTCAAATATTAATAACAAGATATTACAGCAACATGAATAAAAGCATAAAAACATGAAATATAATGAGAAACAATGAAATACTATGAAATACTATGAAATACTATGAAATACGAGGAGCAGGAAACCACACTGAACTGTAAACTGTAGCAGCTGATGCAAGGCTTCACATTTGTGCTAAAAACTGTGACTGTTGTGTCAACATGGTGCAAATCAAAGCATGGTGCCCTAAATGGATAAAATTTGGATTGTCATGGTAAAAATAAAAAATAAAATAAAAAAATCAGTTTTAAAGTCTTTTTGTTCATCTTACTGCTGTTTTCTTGTCTCGTTGTCTCTCAAAGCTGACTTTTCTCTCGATCAGCTTCTGTGCATTGTCCTTGACGAATGTCAGGTTGTTCAGCTCATCCATGATGCTGTTCTGAACTTCAGCGATGTTGGACAGTGGAGGCTGAAAAGGCAAAGCACCACAGAGTTCAGATGGATTTCAAAAGATTAACAATGAACTTCATGTGAGTTCGCTCGCTGCTGCCACAACTAAAGAAGGCAGCAGCCGAAAAGAGAAGAAGAACGGCTTAAGGACAAATGCTAAGTGCTGAATGGCTGCTTGATGCTATTTACCTGAGGAAAACCTGAAGCTGAGTCAGTAAAGCTGAAAGAACCACAACATTAGCTAAAAGTGGCAAAACATGAGATAAAAACAAAAGGCTGATAGCAAAAAAAAGGAAAAGACTGGCTAACAGCTAAAATGGCTCATTTAAAGCTAAGAACAACCAAAGTCTAGCTAATTAATCACAGATCTGGTATTGTGCAGCACGAAGGAGAACAATGTTTCTGAAGGAACTGAAAAGATCTCCGTGCATTTTAATGGAAAACATTGTTTTTAAATAAAGTATGTTGAAAATATTTCAAAGATGCAAAAACTTCAGTTCATAGCATCCACCTCCTGAATGAGCTGGATGTGTCGTGGGTGAATGGCTAAAACTAAATGAGTATGCAGAAACAGACTGTTAACGAAGGTCAGAACAACAAAGATGTGAAGACAATAGTGTGAATGCTGACTCAGCATCCACACAGACAGCACTGTTGATGATGAGTGGGAGACTCACTGGTAGCTGCTGGACAGCTGGAGCACCAGCCGAGGCGTTAGCCATCAGCCCTTTGAGAAGGGCCACCAGACTCCCCACACAGTTAGTCAAGATCATATGAGCCGCCATGTTGAACCTCTGCAACTCCTCCACCAGCAACGCGTTCATGGCCTCATAGTCTCTCTTGGCGAGACCAGGAGGAACCTCCGAGGCTTGTGAAGTGGAGGAAGATGTGGGAAACGATGAAGATGAGTTAGAGGACGAGCGCTCGAGGCGGCTGCAGTAATCCAGCAGTTTGTCATAGCGCTTCTGCATGAGCTTCTGTGGGGCTGTGAACATGCCCTGCAGGCAGGACAGCGGGGCCAAGACCAAGCACTCCATCCTGTCCTTCTGCAGGGGAAAAGTCAAGGATGACTAAACAGCCTGCATGGGTCATAGAAAATCATTTTAAAGCTTTTCAAACAAGTGCAGCAGCACAGGTTTTACACTGTTTTAGCATTAGTCCGTATGCTAAAACTCTTCTTAAAGCTAAAAGGGTTTGTTGTTCTAGTGCAAGAGTATGCATGTAATTGATAAATAAAGGAAGACAGCAGAGTTTGGCAAGGCTACAAAACCTAAAGGGCAGGTCTAGAGACAGAAAAGGATTGCTATGTTGGACATAAGACAGGAAGTGACAGATGATTCACTGTCAGAGGGCAAATATGAAGTCAGGGAAAAGCAAGGACAGACAATAAATTAAGATGGTTCATGGAGGTAAAGGAAGACAGGGAGGCTGGACATGACGACAGGTGTGATGCAAAGTGCAACTACCAGTACATTTGTACTTACAAAGTACTTGTATGGATCATTGCTATTGTTGTGCAATGAACCATTCAGGTCGTTTTTGCTTGGGTCTGTGAGAATGTTTTCCATTTCCTTCACGTTCTGAAAAGCCACAGACACCATCTCCTGAGAATTGACAGAATATATTAAACCAATTAGAGTATGTGCTTAGAGCAGGCTTTTTAGTGTTACATAACAATTAATTTACTCCGGTAACCACAATTTTTATATTAACTCACTTTTATTTAGACCCTCACGTGTTAATTTGTAAAAAAAAAAAAAAAGGGCATGGATTGAGCTTGAAGTCCAGTCAAACAGATGGATGACAGTAAGAGTTTAATGAGCCATTCAGAAAATCTATGAGTGGCACATTCTGACAATAAACAAGGGCATCTTTAAGTATTAAGAAAAGCGTTATACAAATCAAATGTATTAAATCTCAAGGAAAGAATATAAAACTAGAAGTGAATGGGGCCTAAAATGGATCCCTGAGGTACCTCAAAATGAAGAGGTGTCACAACTGAAAAGTACCTCCCATCTGATCAGCACTTAAAATAGTTAGAAATGAAGATTTGAGCGCTCACCTGAATGTGCTGCATGTAGCAGTGGACATTCTTGGTCAGTTGTCTCACGGCTTTCTCCAAACTCCTGAACAGTTTCTCTTCTCTGTCAAACACTTCATCTCTCACCTGCAGAACAAAATGACAGCTCAGTTTAAACTGGGTTTCTTTTTATTGAGCAAACTAATCAGTCTGTTCACAATAAGGTAAGATATTTGTTACAGCTCCTTACCTGTGGCTCAACTCCAGTGAGAATCTTGAGATAACCAGCAAACCGGTCTGATTTTTTGCGGATGGAGTGGATGTTAAGTTTGTTTAGCTTGCCTCTCAGCGTTCCTTCATCTTCTGACCTCTTGTATTTCATCACTGACACACAACAGTGATACCCCATCAAATACAGATAAAAGTGCATCTGTCTTGTGTTTGACATAGACACTAAGTTCAACTAAATGTACACATTGGATTAGCAAACAACACAGATGTGCACATCGTGTGAATCAAGTCGCACCGATGTCCTTTCTCCTCTTGAACTCATTGATGTTGACGTTTATGATCTTCGTGGCGGTCAAGGCCTCCTGCAGCGGCAGAAAGTCCGGGTGGTCTTCAGGTGTGGCCTGCCACAGTTCTGCAAGGAGCAGTGGGTACTTCATGATCCGCTGGACAGGTTTGATGATCAGTGAGCCCATGTCCAACAAATTAGGCTTTCCTCTGTGGAACAACAGGGTTCCATTTTATGAAGGATAATCAATGCAAGAAATCAAATATGGTCAAAAATGTACTTTGAAAAAAAAAGTACTTACTCTTGGTCATAAATTTTTCTGCAATGAAACAGCCCCAAGAAAGATAGACAAGATTAAAGGTTTGGATTCACACAATGAAAAAGGCGTTGCATGAACGTGACAGCACTTACTTCAGAGCCAACACACATGCAGTGAAATGTTGCTTCATTTCTTCCTCTCTCTCGTAGGATTTGAGCGACGTGTTAGCATCGTCGTGGTGATAACAGTAAATCTTATACACATCTTCTAAAGCTGCCTTTGCCTGGATGAACACATCACCTTCAAATAAAATCCAGACGTAAGAATCTTGTGTTTGCCGTTAAAGAGAGTAAACAATGGCAAAAGTGGACGATGAGTCCGAACCTATAACCACAGCCTCTGCGTCCGGCTCAGCCATGGCCTCATTCAGTCTGTGAAGAAGTGCTGCCGACACCTCGCACAACGTCTCCATGTTGGTGAAGAGACGATCCACATCCACCACCTGCAAAAAGACAAGGCTCAAATCAAATCAGAAACCACCCAAAATGAACAATGAAGCTGGTTAAATCGGTTAAAGGATTGAAGGAAAAGTGTTTGTTTTTATGGTTTTCTTTACTCTGTGTATCATTTAGCTCATTAGTAAGACATGCACTCAGTTCAAAGTCAGTTCGTTACATTTTGCTGGATGATTGTTAGATACAGAAAATCAGATAATAAATCCTTTAACATGGTTGCAAATTATAATGAAGAGAGAAAAGTTTACAAATCAATGGTTTAAAAAAACATAAAACTTCCAAGTTATACTATGTGTATTTTTATGTTGAAACATTTTTTAATTAAGTTATGTCCCAATAAGAATAATTATAATATTACTAAAATGTCCCTAGGTGAGAGTGAGAGAATGAATGGTTGGTTGTCTCGTTTGTCTCTATGTGTCCCTGTGATGGACTGGAGACCTGTCCAGGGTGTCCCCCACCTCATGAACAGTGACTGCTGGATATGGACACCAGTGACCCCCACAACCCGAAAAAGAAGAAGCAGGTAAACATGATGGATGGATGGATGGATGGATGGATGGATGGATGGATGGATGGATGGATGGATGGATAATAATAATAATGATAATAATATAATAATGAATGGATGATGGATGGATAATATTGGATGGAGGGATGGAGGATAGATAATAATAATAATTTAAAAATAAATAAATAAATAAATTATAATTAAAAATAGATGGATGGATGGATGAAGATAATAGTAATAATAATAATAATAATAATAATAATAATAATAATAATAGATGATGGATGGATGAAGATAATATTAATAATATTAATAATAATATAATGATGGCTGGATGGATGATGATGATCAAGATAATAATAATGATGATAATAATAATAATAATAATAATAATAATAATAATAATAATAATATAATGGAGGGATGGATGGATTGGTGAAAATAATAATAACAATGTAATAATAGATGGATGGATGGATGGATGGATAAAAAGTATTATTATTGTTGTTGTTGTTGTTATATTTAGTTTAGTTTAGTTATATTTAGTAGTAGAAGAGTTTCACTGTCCTGTTAAAAGCAGAGGTGATCAGAGAGTGATGTGTCTCTGTTGACAACATGATGTGTTGCTGAAAACACCTCATCTAGTCATTGAAATAAAACAAACTCTTGAGTCAAAGATGGCCGTGAGCTATAAACTAAATATGAACTGGACTGGTTTCAGGTTTGTAACTAAACTTTCCATTTAGAAAACAAGAGGAGTTCTATTTGTTTAATTTATTGAACATTTGTGTGGAAAGTTTGTTGACAGCTGACGGTGTCCTCACAGCTGAACAACGGGACAGAAACTAATGTGTGAAGTTGATTTGAGAACAAAAGTATTACATTTTAACAGTGTCAGGGTGGTTTATAGTTTTTTCCAAAGGTGTCGAGCAAACCAGAGGCTGATGTGAGCGACAGGCAGCGTCGGAGGAGAATGTTCTGTGAAGAACTCTGAGGAGCATCTACCTGCAGCTTTCGTAAAGGCTGCACCACTTCTCTGACGCACAGCTCCAAGTCGGTGAGGTAGTCCTTCTCAGTCTGCACCAGCTCCTTTATCACCTTGGCCCTGTGCTTCATCTTCCTCGCACGGACCTCCTCCAGGTCCAGGATGGGGGAGGGGAGGGTGGACAGGTTGTGTGGCATCAGTTTTTCTAAAGGGGGAGAAAACAAAATCTGAAAATGAGCCTAAACTTATTAGTTCTTGTTGGATAAACATCTTCCATCTGGAGTACAGACTGTGGGTGTATTTTCTACCTTCAGACCTTTTGCTCTGTGGAATGACATTTAAAAGAAATAAACATATATCCTGCTTGATATCTGAGTAAAAGTCAGTTTTTCATCCTGATCTAATTATTTCCAAGCCAGAGCCAAAAGGCCTCACTGAACATGGCAGTCAGGCTGACTCCTGTTCTGGGCTCTGCAGTCCGTTCAGTGATGAGAGATGCTTCATCACTGCCTGATCCATGCCAAGCACCTCCTCCTCCTCCTGATGGAGGGAGAGCAAAGAAGAGGGAGACGAAGGAGGAGGAGGGAGGCTCAGGTTACCAACCTGATCCGGCTGCTGCATGCTCAGGCATCCCATCTGCTCCCACTCTGTGTCGGTGTAGTGTTAGCAAAATATCACACGACGTGCTGTTCAAATGTTCGTGAAGAATCCAGAAAGTGGATGAATGACAGTCAAAGCTAATGAACTCAGAGCTGGCTGGACCTCAGTACAGATGTGGAGCTGATGTTTGGTGTGGTAGTAACAGTCAGTCTCAACACACCCTCCAACAGATCCTGTGAGATCCTGCAGTAAACGTTGTTTTGAAGGATAACCAATGAAGACGTGGCTCTGTCTCCTCATCAGAAGATGATCTCAGTTTGTTTAAGGTGGCAGGAGACATGCGTCCCAAAACGGGCCGTCTTATTTAGATCTTATTTGGAATAAGGGAATAAGAGAAGTGGAGCAGTGCGTTCTGTTCACGGTGTGAAAGGAGACAAACTGCAGATGGGCTGGCTGCAGCTCAGCAGGACGGATGGTTCTGGTTCTGGTTCTGGCCACATGATGAATGCGAGCACCATGGTGAGCACAATGCAGGCTGTGTTCACCTGAGAGCAACTGATCTGCCTCTCCCTGCAGCAGGACCACCTCCCAACACTCAGATTCACTTCAGCATTAAACTTTCACTAAAACCTCAAACATATAAAAGTTATGAAGTGAAATGACTAATTTCTTACAAAATTCATATTTTATATAATTCATATTTTTAAATATAATTCATATCTTGATGCCAGTTTTAACACATCATGTGTTCATTAATTGACTTTTGCACCGTTTAAATCTGAAACGTGCCCTCTTCAGTTCAACTTAATTCAGTGAAAACCAGATTGTTCAAACTTTATTTTGCATAATAAACTTTATTATATAACTTTCTTGCACTAACTTGAATGTTTTTTCAGGCACAAACACAACTATTCAAATAGTAAATTAACTTACATGTGCTTTAAAGACAAGCGCAGGCCTGCAGTTTAAAAGGTGTCACATCTACTTTGTTATCCATTTCCTGCTTTTTCCTTCATTTTTTTTAACTATCTCATGTTTTAAATCCTGTTTTGGTTCCTCTTCTCTTAATTTTTCCAACAAAGACGAAGCAGAACTGACTTCAATCTTGAGTTCATACCTTTTGATCAGGTCCACTGCAGATTTCGAGCTCTGTTTTAGATCAATTATCCTCCTGTCCGGTGTTGGTTTGTAGAGCTGTTTATTAATAGTTTGCTGTCAGAACTTGCTGGTATTTTAGAGTTTCTACCAAAATAACGGTCTTTATGGCTCGGACTGCAACACAAGGTCAAAAGCTGATCATTCAACCCACGTTCTTATCTTTTGGACAGAGGTTGTCCAAATATGCCTTTGCTGACTGCAGTCAAACACCAGACCAGTTTAAAGTCGCCACAACTGTTGAGATATTTATTTTAAAAAGAACAACAACAAAAGATTTTTCTTATTTCTACAACAATCCAAGGTCATATCTGTAATGAGTACTGCAGCTCAACGCTGCTCCAAGGCTTCTATGGTGACAAAGTGAACAATCAATACCTTACCTGTTGTAGAAACATCTTTAAACAGCATCAGTTTGGGAAAAGGAAATGTTATTCTGAGTGGACTGATGAGCTAATAGCTAGTATCAGCCTGAGCAATCAGCAGCACAGATAGTGTCAAATCTCCTATTAAAGTTGCATTACAGTGATTTTTCTGTTTAGAGATTCATGAGTCTTAACAGCCTCAGGGTAGAAGCGGTTCCTCGGTCTAGTGGTTCTGCACAACCTCCTGCCTGAGGGGAGTGGGGCAAAAAGTCTGAAAACTAATTAAATAACCCCAGTAAAATATGTAACATTCAGATGAAAAGATGTGCAGTCTGAAGGGACATGATGATGAATTACCATTTTTATGAGTGACTCTCAGCTACTACCACATCAGATTTTACTTAATTACTTTCTTAGAGTTTTATTAAAATCCGTCTGGTGGTTCAGAAACAAGCAACAATGTTACCACCCACCATTTGCCTTTTGGTGGAAGGCAAATTTAGATAAAAATGCTTGAAAGTATTTAATTTTTGACCTGAGTTAAACACAAGGAGAGGTCTTGAAACAAATTAAAGACAGAGAGACCTTTCTCGGAGTGGAGAAACACTTGTATTTCTTTCAGCTTTATTTATCCAGGTTAGTCAGTTGAGAAATTGTTTTCATATATAAGTAGAGAAGTTGCATTTCCTGTGAAAGTGCAGTGTGAATGTTTATTGCTGAAGAACTTGCTGAAAAACAGCTGAAATTGGCTCAAATACATGCTGAAATGAAAGAAAAAGCATAAATTACCAAAAGAAAGCAGATTGAACACATATTTGCTGAATTAGATTTAAATTATCAGAAATGAGCACAAAAATGAGGAAATTAGATAAAAAGGCTGAAATTAGTAAAAAAAAAAATTTAAATATTAAATAACGGAACAGTATTTGAAAAAACTACCAGAAGGAAGTGAAAAGAGCTGAAATGATCTATAAAAAAGAAAAAAAAGTGGAATTAGCTGAAAAGGCTAAAATTTGCATAAAACAGCTAAATAGTAGCTGAAATAGCAGAAAAAGCTGAAACTAGCAGAAACAACTGAAAGGAGCATAACAAGCTTAAATTGGCATCAAAAGTTAATTAGGCTGAAAGTACTAGAAATTACCAAGAAAAACTTGAATTAATCTCAAAACAGCTGAAATTGGCTGCAAAATGCTAAAAGTTAACTGAAAATGTATAACAAGATTACATTACCAGAATAAAGTAGAAAGAACACGTTTGCCCAATTAGGCTGAAAGAAGTGAAATTAGCACAAAAAAGTGGAAATTATCTAACCCTCCCAAAAAAAACCCCCTGAAATTAGCAAAGAAAAACAGGCGAAAAGTAGCTAAAAAGGCAGAAAGAAACTTAAATTACCAGAAGGAAGTGGAGAGAGCACATTTTTGCTGATTTAGGCTGAAAATGGTTGAAATGCATGCCAAAAAATGTGCAATTAACTGAAAAAGCTAAAATTGCATAAAACAGCTGAAGTAGCTGAAATAGCAGAAAAAGCTGAAACTTGCAGACTGAAGCTGAAAGAAGCTGAACAAGCTGCAGAAAGAAGTTAGAAGAAGCACAAAACTGTTGCAGTTAGCAGAAAGTAGCTGGACACAAGTTTAATTTTGCAGAAAGAAGCCGAAAGAAACTGAAGCAGAACAAAATGTGAAAGGAGCAGTAAAAGGTTATAAACAGATCTAAAGATTTGAAGGATGTAAAATGAGCTCAATTTATTTCCTATGAGAAAAAAGCGTCAGAAAAGGCTAAATATTTGGAAAAAGCTACAGGTGCACCAATACCAAAAGTCATAGCAGGATTGTCCTGAATGAGTTGAACGTTTTGATTTATGATTTGTTGAAATAGCACAAAAATTGTGGAATGAGAAAGATGCTGAAAAATGTAGAGAAGAAAAATGGATCACAATAGAGTGAATGCTTCATGAACATTCACGCTATAATGATTTGTGTGTGTGTGTGTGTGGGATGTGTTAGTAAATGATTGTCTGAACTGTTTCAGATTTGAGCTGCAGTAAATGTTGGACGAGCTGCTGTCACGTTGCCATGACTCTATGAGTTAGGAAGAGAATAAAACCTGTTTGACGAGCAGATGAGAACACGGCGTGCGGGGCTGCAGCTCATATGTTTCCTCCTTCAGTGAAGTCATCGTTGTGTCAATATTTGCATCGGTAATACCCGTGTAAATATGAAATAGTGCTCATCAGGTGAGAGGGAGGACAACAGTTTACTGACAACAGCTGTGTGTGTTATGATCAACTCTCTGTGCCCGTCGTCATACAGGCACCACGGGAAAATAGAAAGTGCAGAAGGAGCAGAGAGTTTGAGGTAAACAGAGCTGCTGCTGCTGATGAAGCAAACGTGTGGAAATGATCTTCAAAAACCTACTGAGGAGGAACTTTAACTCTTGCTTTTTGTAACTTTTACACTTCATTTACTTTCTTCACAGAAATCAGTTCCTTCAGTGCATCGTCCTTTTTGAAATCAGCTTCAGGATATTGGTCATACAAGGGGTGTCAAACCCACTTATAAATGGGGGCCAAAATTAAAACCTTTTTCAAACTAAGGGCCGGTTTCAGAATCTACATTAACTCAAGTTTGATACCAAACATCTTTTTTAGTTGTAGGTTCCCTCAACAAGAGTTTGATTGGTCTCATTTGATGTTCTCTGTTGCACATTTGACATCATCATCAAAGATTACTGAAAAAATTCAAGTGAAAAAGTATTTTACATTTAAAATAACATCTTGGGGGGCCAGATAAGATGTCAACAAGGGCCACATTTGGCCCCCGGGCCTTGAGTTTGACACATATGGGTTATACCGTAAAATCGTCTTCATATGATACTTGTAGCTATCATTCGGCTTCTTTTAGCATTTAGCTAACATTTTGCATCTTTTAGCTTTAGCCTAGCGTTTTACTACATTTGGCCAGCCTTTTGCTACCCTTGTCTTTTAGCTGGTGTTTTCCTAATTCCAGTGCCGGGCCTCTGTTCTCCCCCAGCCCTCAGCAGTCGTGCTGCATTTTCACAGGAAACACTTTTTCCATGTCAAGTGGATTGTTGACGATGAGGAAGGTGAGGAACAGGAGTCACAGGAAAGCCAACATACTTTGGAGCTTTCATGGTTTAAATACCCCCCCCATGATGTCATGATGCCTGAAGTGCAGCATTCCCGCTCCCTGAGTGCACTCGAGGACTGGACAGGTACAGCCAGTTTGTCACACATATGAATGTGTGTTAAAATGAACAAACTGTGTCAGCAATTATTGTCATTCCTTTCTTTTTACGACCCATTTCTTTTATAATCAGCTCTTTCTTCATGGATATGTTACTCAGTTTCCCTGTGACACTAGTTCTACTCCTTCTTCTAACACCGGCACAAAATGTTCTGAAGTTCTTTTCCCACATGTTTGTGCCATCTCCGTCTTGTTTACCCGCCGGTCCGGTGCACTTTTAAAGGGCCTCTCCTCTGAGCCTGAGTTTGGGGCCCAGTTTGCATATGTGGCTTCATCCCCTGAGGGAGGAACCAACTCTACAGTAACACACCAGGTGACCGGTGCAGACTGGCACACACTGTTCCCCTGAAGACACACACCTGCTGCACTCACAGCCCGTCAGCTGGTGACGCTCTACGTTCTCCTTGTGTTGGAAAGAAGTTGAGCTCGTTTGTTGAACCGAGTGTCGGCTTATCGTGTGTTTCAGTTGTTGCCATAGCTTTGACACCTGGGAACATCATTAGCTGCTGTACCTTTAAGTTTGGCGCTGTACTCCGTCTTATCAGACTGGCTCCTCCTCACCAGCGTCCCCAGGTTGATGTCACCTTTGGCCATGTCTTCAGCTACAATAGTGTCCGTCTTCCTCCTCTCCAGGTAGCGAATGAACATGGGACGGTTCCTCCTTTTTATCACTTTCTCCTTCTCCTTCTCGGTCCCGCTGCCCTCCTTGGGATCCATGGTGCTCCTCCTGTGCTCTCAGGTTGATGAAGGAGAAAAGAAGTGAAGAAAGAGAAAGAGGGACAGAGAGAGAGAGAGAGAGAAAGCCTGGGAAGTGCAACAGGTGTACTATTCACTGTACCCTGACTGCAGCTCTGTACAGGTAGCACAGCTCCTCCCTGAGTCTACCTGTCATGGAGGCCACACCCCTCACTGCTCTGCTCTGCTTTCTTCCCTTCAGGCCATCTCACCTGTCCTACAAAAGGAAGTGATGCCTCTGAATTGATAAAGTCTGACACTCATTGTCTCTTAAACTAGATAAGTGTCCTGGGAAGCATCGAGCTCTCACAGACGTGCAGCCTGACAGGAAGTAAAAGCAGGTAGTCATGCAAATGTCCTGGCTGTAAATCAAGACACGCAGCACCGAATGAGTGCATTTACGAATATTTCACACACGTGCCACAAACAGGCTCACCAAGCCTCACATAAACTAATTAAATGGGCAGATTAATAGAAAAGTCAGATCAGATCATTCGGTGTGTTCTGGATCTTCCTGCTGCAGTTCTTCCAGGTTACAAGGAAGACTTTGGACCTGAATGTACCCCAGCAAGAAGTAGTCCACCTGCAGGAGGCGTGACCAAACAGGGTCTGGACTGATCAGACAAACCTACTGGGCCATCAGCAGGGACCCGGGTCACTAATGTGCCATTAAAGGTTCACCCTGGATAATCCTCAAGTATTACTCATCCAACAACAATCTCATGTTTCAGGATGGTCCAAACCCATTAAATCTAAAACTCACTGGATGGTCCATCCATCCATCCATCCATTATCTTTTACCCGCTTATTCCATTTTGGGTCACGGGGGTCGCCGGTGCCCATGTCCAGCAATCACTGTGCGAGGGGCGGGGTACACCCTGGACAGGTCTCCAGTCCATCACAGGGCCACATAGAGACAAACGAGACAAACAACCATTCACTCTCTCACTCACACCTAGGGACAATTTAGAGTTACCAATCAGTCTAACATGCATGTTTTTGGACTGTGGGAGGAAACCGGAGCACACGGAGAAAACCCACACATGCACGGAGAGAACATGCAAACTCCACCCAGAAGGCCCCTGGACCGGGGTTTGAACCAAGGACCTGCTCACTGAGAGGCAGCAGCTCTACCAGTTGTGCCACCGTATTGCCCTGGGCCAAACCCAATTAGATCTAAAACTCACCGGATGGTCCAAACCCAATTAGATCTAAAACTCACAGGATGGTACACCCTCACATAGATCTCTCTAACCAGTGAGCTGATCTACTTTATTGAACCCGGTCAATCTTTTATGGTCCAGTTTGGTAAATCTTCTCAGTCTTGAACAGATTCAAGATGACTATATCAAAGAGACGCGTGCGCTGAATATTTTTGATAACGCAACTTTTTATGGCAGCTGTTCTGTTTGAACAGAGACTGACACTCAGAAAGGCCATCAAGGTATGTAGAATGGGGGTTTGTTCAGGATCTCACAAACACACGGACTTTGATCTCAGGATGGATTGAAGAGATTTAAAAAAAAGAAAACGAGAAAGAAAAGATAGCCTTTGACGAAGCTGCTGAATGGATCAGAAGTTGTAGCTTCAAACTGTGGACAAACCTGATTTACACTATTTTAACAGAACAAAACCCAACCATGACTACACGTCTACGAGCGAGTTCACTGAGCAAATACAAAGACTGTATTTAACTTTATCCTGAGCAATTAAACGCTGCAACAAAAGAATAGTTTCTGTTGCCTGTATACACTGTACTGCAGTCTCAAAATCACAATGTTAATTTAGAAATAAAATAGTATGGATCAAAACAAAGTCTTGCGAAAACTCAAGCGGACCAGCGTAGAAATGAAAATGGGAAGGATGTGTTGAAATGAGTCGCAAACCTTTTTATTTTTACATTCGAAACATACCAATGTCATGATCGCAGTGTTATCAATATAGCCAGGATACTTTCCTCAACGTTTGGCACCAACGGGACGTTTTAAAGCCAGAGCTCTGCTCTCTCAAACACAAATGTTGGCACTTTTATGCAAATTTGGCAGCTTGCATCAACCACAGACTTAAGCTGTAGGAAAGACAAATATGTAACTCTGACTCATTTCCTGGACCTTCAAGGATCACAAGCTCACATGATGTTGACTAATTGATAGATAAGTGTAATTAATACAGAAAGATGGATGTAAAGTGCATTACTCAAGTGGAGACTTATTGAGGTTTTTAGCTTCCATGGCCTGTTTTTAGTGTCCAGGTATTTCAGTTCAAATACCGTTTATCTTGAAGATACATTTGATTAAATGACCCAGTTTTTATTTTAATGTGTCTTATCATGTAGCTTCCTGCACCTGTGCCATCAAACAGGCCCAACATTACATTTACATTTTTAAATTAAACTTGCTGTGAAGATTAAAAATGACCATGAATGTTTTCCTGTTGTGAACAGTTATTTTAACTGTAGAATGATACTTTTCCAGTTTCCAAATATGTAGCAACCATTACTTGTCCATAACCATTGCTGATGTCTTTCCTTCTTGGAAGCCAAGAGTAAACAAGTCTTGTGGAAAAAAGAAAAAACAACAACAATAAGAGTGTGAAACTGTTGTTTTGTGTTGAAAACAGAGTAAACAAACAGGAACATGTTGTAGTTTGCATTTATTTTATAAAAGTTGTATTTAATTAAACTTCAGTCAAGCCCACCTAAATTCTCCTTTCACTCATTTCTGCGTACATCACAGTTGGTACCTGAATGCATCACACCTGCAAACTTTCATAACTTTTGCTTTTTTTAGAGAAGCTTAAACCTACTCTGATGATCTGAGAAAGGTCAGGACACGTTTTATTTTCCACAGTCTGCTTCTGCAGTTGGCTTAATTTTTGTTCATTAAATAACAATGCAGCATAATATCTCATGTGATGTTGACTGTCTGTGTTTAAATAGAGCTGGTTTTAAATATATCACAATTACTATATTTTGTACTCTTGAAAATAATACTCAAACTTTAGGTAAATACCGTTTTTAGATTTAGTATATTACATTTTAACAATAATCCCAAATACAATTTGGTATGTTGTAATTTTTTTCTCTCCATGATTATGACCTTGACATGAGAACAATTTGTACATGTGCCTTTTACTTTGAAAAATCCTGACCGGAACTTTTGGTTTCGTTGGGCGGAAGTGGACAGGAAGCCGGAAGCGACAGAGAGAGAGAGGAGTCAAGTGATGAGACCACTGCTGCTGCACGCCTCACTGAGTTGCCTGGTGCCGGCTCTGACCCGGTTTTCTGCTTCTTGTAATAAAGTCTTCGCACAAGCAGCAGCTGCGCCACATCTGTATTATTGCAGAAAAACGATGCATTATCAAACGGAGCAGAGAGGACAACCCAATTCCTCCGACTACCGCCTTTACTTTAGTAAGTGAACGTAACGCTCACGCTGGAGGGGAACGTCCCAATTTAATTTAATAATTTAAATGGCGCTAACAAGTAAACAAATACAGCTGCTTTTCACAGTAGTTAACCGTCCTTACATGGTGTTACTTCCGGTGTAGTAGTCACGTGGTATGTAATGCAAAAAATGTCAGTAAAATTAAAACGTGGGAATAATTAATTCTTTTCACGTTTATCCGGTTGTTTACAGCTTTTTTTGGAAACTGGCTGATTTTTTTAAGGCCTTTATTTTCTTACATATTGTGTTTTTTTTTTGTGAGTTTTATGTAATTTAATGATTCTTGTAGTTATACATGTTTTTATTGGACACACTTCACACTCAAAAGGTTTGTGTTCATTTATCATTGAAAGGACCATAAAATAACAGTGTCGCTGCTTTAATAGTAGACTTTTTTTTTTTTAATGAAAGCAGCACATTACTACGCAGAGTGTAAATATTTACTGTAAACAGTCTGGAGCTTTGTTGAGAAATGTGTTTGTCATCTTATTTTAGAAACCTCTGATGGGAAATACATTTCCCCGTTCCATGATATTCCACTGATAGCAGCGTCAGACCCGGTAAGTCCTGAACAGATTTAACGGAAACCCAAAGTTCAAATTACAAATCTGAATAATTATTTTCTTCTAACAGGACGATGACGTTCCAGCTAAGAAACTCAAGAGTGAGAGTGAGGTACCAGCTGCTTCAAAGTCCGTTTCACCCCCTAAAACGATTCTTGTCAACGTTTGTTTTTGTTGATGTTGTCCTTCAGGTGCTTTACAACATGGTGGTGGAGGTACCTCGATGGTCAAATGCTAAAATGGAGGTGAGTAAAGAACCCATGTACTCATCTGGACGAAGGATTCATAATATTTGTTTCTTGATTATACTCTTGATTTTCCAAAAGTATCGTTCCTTTGTTTACATGCCGTAAACACACTGTTCCTATACTGTAAATATATTTCCGAGTTCACTTTATGATCACACGTTTTCCTGGAGCACATTTGTAATGTTTGTTCAGTTTATAATTAAATAGCATAAATATCTCTTGTTTCTTTTTATGATCAAATTGCTTTAGATTCATGTAATTGACGATTCTCAGCTCCCTGCAGGACAGGTCATGAAATGTCACTTTCAATGAAACCAAAGTAATTTGTCCCTTAAGTTTAATTAAGTTGTTTAATGTCACTGATGTTAGAAAACAGGAATGCAGTAATCGTGAGTTTTTACCTGTAATAAGTGGACTACCTGCCGTTTTAAACAATTTAAACGTTGCGCTGCAACAAAGAGACCGTCTTTTTTTTTTTTTTTACTTTTAAGGCTTGCTTTGGTACAAATATGTGTATTTGTTGTGTCTCAGTATATTGACCAAAGTGCTGTTTGTCAGACAAACATTAAACTTGGCACCAACATCCCAGTAGCAAATTAATTCATTTAACTACACAAACGGCACCAGTCTTCAACATCTGGAGGAGCAACAAATTGGTCCGAGACAAAACTTATGTTGTAAAATACGACTTACTCACAATTTAGAAAAGTATTTATACAAAATAATAATTTTAACATTCCTTTTAATGATTGCGTAAAAGCTTAAAATAAGTTTTTAAATTCCTAAACATTGTATGTTCCGATATATAATGTTAACGGACTTTTTATGTACTTGAATGTTTCTGTTCAGTGTCCTGAGACGACTTCTGTTGTGACTTGGCCCTTTATATAAATAAACTGGATTGAATTGTTCCCAGATTGCAACAAAGGAAGCTCTGAACCCCATCAAACAAGACGTGAAGAAAGGCAAGCTCAGATATGTGGCCAACATCTTCCCACATAAAGGCTACATCTGGAACTACGGTGCGCTCCCGCAGGTCAGGACGGGACACACCTGTCTCAGATTTATGGCATGGGGGGAGTCTTTGTTGTAAAAGGTAGAATTCACTAATTATTCATCTGTACTCTTCCTTTTAATGTGTGGTGTTACTTCCCTAACATGAAAACTATAATAACTGGTAAAATACACAGTTTTAATGTTTAAAATTTGATTACTTTAATCTGTGATTCAACAAAACACTAAATATGCATCTTTCACTGCCAGATGTTTACCAGATCATTTGTAATAAACGAGTAAAATCAGCAGAGTCATGTTTTGTTGCCAACAATAACGAGTTGTTTGTTTACATCCGAGTAAACTTCAGACGTCTCATCAGATACTGAATCAGTAAAATAACCTCTGGATGTAAACAAAGTCAGACAAGTGGAAATCTAAAAGTAAAAAAAAAAAAAAAATTCTTAAAAAAAAATCTAATCAGTGAGGACGAGAGTGGACAGACGTCCTCATGTGAGGGGAAATCCAGCGTTGAAGCTAAAGTTAGAATCATAAACTGAGCTGCGAAGAGATGATCTGAACCACTAATCCCATAATTTACTTGTAAACAAAGGGGAGGAATATTTGTTGTTTTTACAAAAAGCCATACAAAAATCTTGTTAGAAGCATAAACATTCAAATCAAAAACACAAACTGCATTTTGACACCTTTCATGTCATTTCATCATCTCCATCACTGACGGACAGTTAACCCCACCTTTTTATTTTAAAGGTTTAATTAAAACACATTAATTAAGACAAGACTGTTTATGTGCGTTTTAATATTGGTCCATTTTTTTTCTCCAGAAATGTTGAACTTCTTGTGTGCTTTTGAACTCTTTCTCGGTGAAGACATGGGAGGACCCAAACTGCGAGGACGAAGAGACAAACTGCTGCGGGGACAACGATCCGATTGATGTTTGTGACATCGGCACTCAGGTACAACGTCCATCACAACTCCACGCTTCTCTGTCTGAATTCAGCTGCTCATATTTGGTCCTGATCCGTTCCTCAGGTGTGCTGTCCGGGTCAAGTGATCCAGGTGAAAGTGCTGGGCATCCTGGCAATGATTGACGAGGGAGAGATGGACTGGAAGGTCATCGCCATCAACGCTAAAGACCCTGATGCTGCAAAGCTGAACTGTGGGTGTTCCATTCACCATGAATCTGAGTCAAAACTTTCCATTTGCAGTCTTGACACAAGTCTTCTCAGAAGTTATTGCCACCTAAATCTGTATTTTAAACCATATGCTTGACCAAAACAACCTGGAGTAAAAAAAACAGTGCAAATATGAGATGAGATTATGGTTTTCCTGGCCCGTAACAACTCTTAATCTCATCCCAACCCCATGAAGGAACTATAAAACGGTTGGACTTTATGGAGTTTCTGTGCATCATTAAACATCCCATGGAGTTTTTATTGTCAACATGGTTTTGTTTATATTTATGGAACAGATTCTGTGTTTAAAGCCGTTCTTGGTTAGTTTTTTTTCCATTGTGGCTGTTTCTTAGTATTTCAGATCTGGTTTAATCCAAACTGTCCTTAAAGGTTTATACATCAAGTGCAAATTTAAAGATGATTATATATTTTGATCCCTAGTTTCTTCATTTAAACATTTCTTTATCCGGTCAGGCATAGAGGATGTCAGAACGACCCGTCCGGGTCACTTGGAGGCCACCGTTGACTGGTTCAGGAAGTATAAAGTGCCCGATGGAAAACCTGAGAACCAGTTTGGGTTCAATGGACAGTTCAAAGACAAGGTGAGTTTCCATAAAAATGAAACCCAAAACCTGACAGCAGGTGGTCCCAGTCCACGGTGTAGCTGTTCGTTGGGACTAAAACTGAATGAGCTGCGATTATTTAGTTGAAAAATCAAACCAGTTGCTCTCTGCTGACAGGACTTTGCAGTCCAGATCATTAACTCCACCCACAAGCACTGGAAAGCCCTGGTACAGAAACAAACCAACGCTGGAGGCATTGAGTGGTAAAAGAACTAAAAACTTCTGCTGCCTGTTTGATCTGGTTTCTAGTAGGAAACTGACTTCTTGTTTGTCATTCAGTAAAAACTTGTCCTGCTGCGACAGCCCCTTCACATGTGATGAAGATGAGGCCAGAGGAGTTGTCCACTCGGTCAGAACTTTTCCTACAAACACAGCTCTGATTCCTATCATCAAAGAATTACAGTAACAATAATTAATGTATTTTTTTCAGGCTCCTGTTGTTGGCAGTGCCCAGCCCGTGTCACCAGGAGGTAAACACACATTGATTAAAGCATGAAGATGACTTTCATCATATTTTAATGCTTTTATATGTTTCTCTGAACTGTCCCCAGTGGACAAGTGGCATTTCGTGTGAAGCTGTCAGCGTTCCTGTCAGGACGTCTCAACGTCGGAGGAAAGGCCTGTTGGTGCTGCTGGCGGGTTTATTTTTATTACAAACTGTATCGAAGAACAAAACCCCGACACACACAGACTGTCAGCGGATAGCTCTATTAACGTTGGACAGGAGGGACAGTAAGGCAGGACACCTGAAATCAGGTTCGTCCTGCAGCTACAAACTGTTCGTCCAACCCGTTTCTGCTGTTTGGTGAAATAAAAACATTTTGAACATATTCTGTCCCATTTTATCTGTTCTTGGACAAACGACTTCAACATATAGGCTATCGTAAACAATGACTCAGAATAAGACGTGAAAGTGTTTTAAATAAATATAAGTTTTATTAAAAAAAAAAAAAACAACACCCACATATAAGCAACATCAGGAATGATACAATAAACAGTTTTCAGATCACCTGCATCCAGTACATTACAATACTTATAGTATTCACACCGTCCTTTATTCTTTTTTTAGCATACCAGACAGAGAGAACTTAAGCCCTAAACAGAAACTTTTTTAGTTTTTAATCGAGCGTTAGTGTCTAACTGAGCCTAACCTTGGAGCTGAGTGCAGGAAATGCACACGTTGAGTCAGAGGAGGTCATTCAAGTAAGGCTGAAGCATCTTCAAGTATGGCTATGCTTTTAACCCGCTTTCCTATGACAGCCTGCTACTGTAGCTGGGTCCTGTACAAGCAAATTCATTTTATATCATGTAGGTGTATTTTACAAAACGAGATCATCTAATGACTGAGCTACCATAAGTCTAGAACTGTTAACAGAGAGTGGATATTTACAGAAACATTCCCAGTATTCCAGCTAATATCTCTGTTAATTTGGAAAACTAAAGTTTTTTTTTTAGTTATAAAGACGACAGTTGAAAAGCCATGGGCCAATTAAACAAAACAAGAGCCTAACATGAATATCAAACAATGAGTTATACTCCCGCAATACAAATTCTTGGTATGTACAATGTAACATAATTTATATTTTTTAAATAAAACCTTTTGCTATTTTTTTTTTTAATTACAAACTTCCTATAAAAGAACTGAAGTGCTTTCATAAAGTTAATATGTGAAGGAAATGGCGTGTCGTTACATGAATTTGATGATTTCTGTTATCAATTAAATGGAATAGAAGGAGATAATGAACTGCTTAGTGGCTACAAATAAATTGGACTATACACGGTCACAAAGACATACAGCTACAGTCCTCACCTCAAACAGATTAACTTAGTTCATATTCCCTTTAACTCGACTCAGTGCATATTTGTTCCAACTACATTTGAAAGAGCATCCTCAACACAAGTAAAAAATAAAAAAAAAACGACAGCATCTTTTCCCCACAAAATCCCAATTTCCTGCGTGAATTAAATGAAACGAGAACGTTTTAGGGATTCAGGATGCAAAGATGAGGCCCTGAATGTGAAAAACACTAAACCATGAATGCAGCTTCAGAAGATGCACATCAAATTAGTTGACCATGTCCCTGATTTTACAGTAATATCAAAGTTCAAGTAGTACTTTCATTGCAAACTGAAAGTAAAAATGTGAACTTTTATGCCTTTTGGTGGCTGAAACTTCAACTGTTAATATTTTGAAAGTAATTTACACATGCGAAAAGATCTGTAAAAACAAAAGTCCTATTGTCCAGCTGGTTTTGAGGTATATGATATGGGTGTACTATACATTATTTATAAGCCTTTTGACTGCCCAAAGAGTCTCTTTAATAGTATGTTTTTAGTAGGCTGAGTAGCACCACGTGAAATAATCAGCTGAAACTCAAAGAAGTACAACATAAAATCTCTAAATCCATCATGAGAATTAATTTACTGTACAAATCTCCCCTCGTTATCTCTGTTAGATTACATTAGTAAAATATGGCAGAACAAGCCAGCTGCCCTCTGAACCTGACACTGAGCTTACCCTGTTTTATGTCTCTCAGTGTATTAAAATCACAATATTTGAGCACTACAGACATAAAACTACAAGAAGTATTCACAAGGCAAGGTGTTCTGAGAACCTGCTGTAAGGAACTGTCAAAAATGTTGCTGACAAAGTAAACCAGGTCAAATACAACCTTTTTTTTTTTTGTTTGTTTCATAATATCTAAAAATGCACCGTACGAATGGCTCAATGTTACAGTAAAACAGCATCTGCATAAGTGATAAAAGCACCAACATAATGACAGTTTTATAAAATGACGTTTTGAGTACTTAAAACATTGTCATGGATTGGAAATACAAAACCTTTAAAAAAAAAAAATTATAACCTGATTTTTTTTTTTTTTTAATTATTACAAACATTTGTTTTTACGGTTCAAAAAGTGCTTCAGGAAACACCGACTTTTCCACAGCTCTGATGCTCATGACAGAACAGACATGATAGTGTCGGTGTCCTGTCCACTGAAGTTAAACGAGTGTCACTCCTAGAGTGTATTATGGTTTTAATGTAAAGGTATTTAAACTGAAATAAATGGTAGAAGCACCGACTTTAGCACCATGACTGTTGTTGCCTACAAAGTCAGTGTTTTTTTTTTGTTTTTGTTTTTCAAAATATCCAAAGTTTTGTAAGAAAAATGAAATCGCAACAAAGGAAACTTTGTTTCCAGCTAAAATAGATCTTCATCAATAAAACTGAAAGCACCACAGATTTTTTTTTTTTGTATGTTGCAAAAGTTGCTAATTTGAAAAAATACATCCTTTGTAGGTTTAACAAGTAAAGCTTGGCTGTGAAAGAAGTGTAAGACGTGATGTAAGAAGTTCTTTCTGTCCCATCACAGGTCTATGTTTGACTATGTAAGGGCTGTTGATGGGGCTCTGATGGACGTGGTCAGGGGAAGGGGTTGTTTTCTACACAAACTGGTTGTAAGGCCCTGTGACCTTGGTGAATGCGTATGGGGTTGTTATGGCATATGTGTTAGTTGTGCATGATGAGGATCCTTCCATGAGTGCCTTAATAAAACGCTTGTACGGAGGTTCTCCAGTGGTCTCTGATGATTCAGAATGCTCACGCTTCACCCCCTTTTTACTGCCCTTGCTGGGGGTCCCCTCACCACCATTCCTTTCTGCCTCTTCCTCTTTCTCTCGAGCCTTCTCTGCCATCTTAGCTTCCCACATTGCCAACCCATGCTTTGCCTCATTCAGATTCTTATGCTGGTAGAAGACTAAGGAGATGCGTGTTGGGTGGTTTCGATCTGGATTTTTAAGAGGTGTTGTAGCATGGAGCTCCCGTTTTGCACACTCAATGAGGACTGAGCCATGACTTGGTGCCACAGCAACACCACCGATGTCAGGATCTAAGAAATTGTGCTCATTGTCTGACCACATCTCGGGCTTTTGTGGAGTTGTTGGCGTTTGTGGCATTCCAGGCTCCTGCTTAATAATGGAGCTCAAAACTCCCCCGTTAGGCTGACCAAGACCTGATTGCATTTCAGGGTTTAAACACCCAGTACTAAGATGAGCGGAGAGCATTTGTGGGCCAGGCATACCCGTCTCTGTCTTGATTTGCATATGGAAAGGAGCTTGGCCCGGGGTTAAGACATGTGGGCTCGGTTGCAGATATGGATTGGGGTATTCTCCAAACTGATTACCTTTGCTTACAGCAAGTGTGTAATCAATGCCTCCATGGGCAGAGGGTGCTCTTAAGAGGGGGTCAATAAACTGAGTCCTGTTAGGACCACCTGGGCCATAATGTGTCATGGGGTGAGTTGGTCGTATGGCATTGTAGCCGTTAACTTGTAAACCTGTTTCACTGTAACTTGGTGGATAATTGACATCAAAACGATGTACACCATACTGTTGCTCTGAGTACAGTGTTGTTTGCTGTTGTCCATACATATCTGGGTGCTTTTGGCTTGAAGCATAGAGTGGATGGAAGTTGTCACTGGGCATTCCCCCATTACACTGATGGCTTGGGTATGGATGATTTGACCCATTCATGTAGGAGTTTGGTACATGGAACGTAGAAAGGTAAGGGTTAGCTGGTGAAGGTGGCTGAGGGTTAAACATGCCTGGCTTGGAAGTGCTTGGAAAAGGTCCAGAATGGTTAGAAAACCTTGCAACTGCTGCATTTGTTGGGGCAGGGAATGGAGGAAATATGCTCTTGTGCTGCTGTTGTTGTATTTGTTGTGACTGAGCCCCAAGAGGGCAACCTGATTGAAGGGTTGGTCCTACAGCACCTATAAAACAAAATCCAGTAATTGATCATTCTTTACCAATCCATTGTTCTTGTTTATGTTTTGCCTTAGGTGCTCATAAAGACGTTAACAAAACTAAAATACAATTTGTAAAGCACAGCTTTAAAAGGTTACTGTACCTGCCAATAGAGTGCTTGGAGCAGTATTCTCATAAGTGCCTGCTTTTGACTTGGCCTGGAGAGCCTTTTCTGCCTTATCATTAGAGCTTTCCAGCATGGCATTCTTGTTGGCGGATGCCTTTTTTGCATCCAGCTTCTTCTGCCGGCAAGACTTGGCGGGCTCTGCAAGCATGCGCACCTGGCGACGGAAGGCACTGAGGACTTGGATGGCCCCTGCCTTTATTTTTTCCTGCTGGCCCTCCTCACTTCCAAATTCATCAGTGTTAGAGGGCTTATAAAGAGGTAAGACATGAAGCTGCTCATCCTCTGGTATCTTTCCAATTTCTCGATTATCTTCTCTTGTTAATGTACAAACCTGGAAAAGGAAGTGAATACTGTTTTAAGGCATAGGGTTGATAGTAAACACCTAGTCTATTTATACCATTTTGTTTATTGTTCATTGTACTGTTGTGCAATTTGAGTGTCTCTCAATCACTTCCATTCCTGAATGAAAAGTCATTCATATAGCAGTAGTGCAGTCAGTCAACATGGCTAAACTGTCTACATGATTTTCATAGAATTATTTGAGTTTTTTTAAATGAGCTGTATAAAACAGAAAACTGCTGTCTCAAATGTCATTATAGCAAAGTCAAAATTTTACTTAAAGACAGATTTCACCTGGGTCTGCTTTATTTTTATGAAGAAAGGGAAAGAATAAGAAAAAATGCTTATTTTCAATGTTCAGCTTACCACAGTGCTGCCACCCTGCATGTTGTGGACGTCTCTGTGAGCATGGGCACAAAAGTCCATACAAGCAGTGACCCCCGAGAATGGACGACCCTCCATGTGTCCCAAACGACAATCTGGTGCTCTATGCTCATATTCTACCTGTGACCAGAAAAAAACAAGGCATAAACAAACTGAAAAGTTCACTAAATTCTGTGTCACCAACAGGGGTGGAAGTAATGAATTACAAATACATAACTGTAATTAAGTAGATTTTTTGGGGTACTTGTACTTTTATGTCTATTTCTTTCCAGTGTAATTTTATGCACACTTGAATACAATTTAGACCATGTAATCTACTTTTCTACTTTTAAAATCATAAGTTGCTACTGAGTACGACCACAATTTGAATTATAATTTAAACATTGCGAATGTACCAATTACCTATGACGTAAGTAAAAAACAACTCCATAGAGTAGAGAGTCATTTATGGACAGAAGATTTGGAGAAAATCCAAAATGGAGACAGAGGACAACACTGTCAACAGAGAAAATGATGAGGTAAAGGCTGAGGATGAGTGCACGTGGCCGTACCTGGAGGAATTTTTTCATGTACAGAGGGCAAAAAGGAGACAGCGTCCAGATGCAAACTCTGTGCTCTCTACAGTGACAGCAGCTTACAAGACTTCGGCATCCAATCTTAAAAAACATATTGCGGTATACGAGGTTTTACAGCTACCTGTATGATATTGCTTTTTTATTTTTTGTATGTGTGGGTTATTAGTTTGGCTAAGTATGCAAAGATCTTAGATTTTGTCACTGCCATTGGTTTGCCTGGTACTAAAATAAGACGGAGCTTCTGAGCGTCTGAGAAATGTGCTTTGAATGTAGCTGTTATACTGTACACAGTAAATCAATTGAATGCCTTATATTGACAACACAATACAATATCAATTTGTTAAAAAGTAATTAATACTCTGAGTAGTTTTTGAGAAGGGTACTTTGCACTTTTACTTAAGTATTTTTATAACGCAACTACTTGTACTTAAGTACAAATTTTCAGTACTCTTTCCACCTCTGGTCACCTGTGTGTATTTGTCATTTTTAAAAGATGCATTGATTGAGTGGCATCCGACTGCAGTCAAAGTATTTTTTGTCCAACTGGCCCTGACCAGCAATCTACCTGTCAAGCCTTTTCTTGGTGCAGCTTAAATGTAAAATTTAAAATGTATCCTGAACTACAGGATAGTTTGTGTCATAACACAACATAGCCCAGTTTGACATCACCGGCTCAATCAGGCTGCTCCCTTCTTCAGGGCTCACCACAGTGATCAAACTCACATGAAATATTTGGCGATTGTTCTCCAGATACCCTTCCTGATGCAACCTGGACTTGAACCTGCAGCCTCGGGATTACGACACCGCGACACTGATCACTGAGCTACAACAGCTCTCATGCAATATTTTTACAGTTTCACTTTGTGACATGTTCTTGCCACGCTATGATTATTTAACCCCTCTGTTCAAACTAAAAATGGATTATATTTTTAACAAATTACATAAAAATGTGCACTTGTGGAAATCTGAGTCTTGGTCAGTGGAACTTGAGTATGTCAGTTTTGGGCTATTTTGTGTCAAATAACTTCTGAGATCTGCAGTGTATTAAAACCTGCAAAGTTAGCATGATATATAGCAACAACAACCCCATTAAACAAACTTAAGAAAGGGATAAAATGAAACTACCGGTAAACATTTTTAACAGTGCATGGGACAATAACTCATGTTTACTTGAAATTTGATCCAAAGATCAGTTAGCTTTTGATAAACAGCCCCTTTTATGACATGTTTTATATCCAATAAATACTTCAGTTTAAAGAATATTAAAATGTTCAAATAAACTCACCTGGTTTCCGTAGGCTTCAGGTGCCATGTTTTTATACAAAGGGGCCAGTAATGTTGCTAAATTTTGAAAATTTCGCTCAATTTTTTCCTCCTGGAAACAAAAAAACAAACAAAAAAACAGTAACAGTAATGTTAACTTAGTAAATTCTAATATTAAAACCAAAATTCAAACTTGAAATACATTTTTTTAAATTTTCCATAAAATACCTCTTTGGCATCATCTACTAGTAACTTAAATCTTCTTGGAATTTTGCTACGGGCAAACTTGCAACCATTGTAGTACATGCTCCAGGAGCAGCCAAAAGAGAAAGATGCTCCACAGGCATCAGGATTTAATCCCTGGCAAGCACACGTCCTCCTGAAATTGCATATGACGTATATCGGTTCGTTCACAATGTGCCAGAGAAATACTTAAAACACAATTGGACTTGTGTGTAAGAAGCGGTAAAGTTCTGTGTTGGTGTTCCTTACTCTTCGTTGAAAGCACAACGTCTCTGGGTGAGGGCTCCATGTTTTGTCAGAGTTTCTCTCAGCTCAAGGTAGAGGTGGTCAGCCAGATTGGGCTGGATGCCTTCCCAGACCAAGATGACCACTATGATGCAGGCAGTATCACATCGGTGACCGGTACGTTCGCGCACCAACACCAAGAGCTTTTCTTCCACACTGGCTCGACGAATCACCTGAAACATGTCATTTATTATAATAATAAATGTAAGAATGTATGCACGCCAAGATAAAAGATGGATAATCACAGAGGGATGATTTGTCTGTATTTTAAATAAAATAAGCAATCATACCCATTTGGCTATGGGGCAACCTTGTGTGCTTTTCCCTTCTTTGCCAGTGTAGAGAACTTTTTCGATCCTGATGGCATGGCCAGTAAGCCCCGACCTTTGATGCAGAGGAAAAGCATTAAAATAAACAAAGAATAAACTATTACTTGTAAAATTCTGTCGTTCAGTGATTGCATTTCAAAATTTTGGCTAACCTTTTCTCCATCTCCTCCCGTATGCCAGCAACACTAGGTGCTGAGCCCAGGTGAGTGTAATATGGGCCCTCATCCTTCTCAATGATTTGATCTAAAGTCAATAAAGGAAAATGTGTTAATATTTATGTGCTGACTAATCACTTATTTTTCAGCACTGACAATGTCAGACTCACCAACACAGTGGCACGATGGAATTTCATATTGTGTTTTCATGGGAGTATCCAAAAGGTTCTTTATGGGTGTATCCAACAGCTTGATGGGAGAGTCAATGAAGGTTTTTAGGAGTTGTTCCTTCTTAGGAGTGGAATCAACATTTTTTTTCAGAGCTAGCTTGGATGAGGCTCCTGGTGATGATTCTATCCTGTTAATGTCTGTGTTGGCTGACAGGATCGTGACTGGCCCTGAAGACTCCACCTTGACTTTATTGGATGAGTTAACCATGATAGATTTTTTTTCAAACGCAGGTGAAAGCTGATAATTTTTCAGACTTTGCTCCATTGATGACAGGATGCTTCCCTGCTTCTTGTTTTGAACACACAGAGACTGCTGACTTTCCTGCTTGATGTGAACACCACCCATGCCTACATCTCTCATTTGCATCAGCTGTTCTTGCTGCCGAGAAGCAGGCAGCCCAAATCTGGGCCCATTTTCAATTTTCACACCTCTAGGGATTTGTTTGAGATCACCGGAGCCTTGAAGGGGATGAGAGGAACCATGACGTTCCTGCTTTTGTAATAGATGCATACGTAGAGCTGCATGCCTCTGAGAGTCTCCATGAGAACCCACTGGTCCCAGAGGTAGTTGAGGTCCCATTTGGAACCGAGTGCAAGAAGTCTTCATCTGCTGTTCAGCTTTGAAATACATCTGTGATGTCACCTGCTGGTTTACTAGACCTTGTGTTACATGTGGTTGTGACTGTGTTGAGATCTGGGGAAAGTCCACTTGGTTGGTCTCGTGGCAGTGGTTGTTAGACGGCTGTGGTTGAAATTGTTTGAAGTTCTTTCTGTCCGAGTTTGTAATGAACTGTTTTTGAGGTTGTGGCATCTCTGTTGCATTATTGAAGGTGAATGTTGGTTGGTCAATGCAATGAATGTCTTGGTTGCAGGCTTGGGCTGAACCGTTTCGAAGAGGCTGTTCTGTTTGAAGCTGTGAACCTGGTGGAGGCTGACTGTGAGGTCTGTAATTGGGAGAGTTAAGTTGTCGCCCTTCAGATTGTGGTGGATGAGACAGTGGACGTTGAAGAAGACAGAGCTGTTGTTCTTGTTGCTGCTTCCGTGTTGTTACAAAATCTGCTGACAATATGTCCTGCAGGTCACTATCCTCACATAAGTGCTCTGGTTCCCTCTGGGACTGGTAGCAGTTTTCTGCTTGCTGATTTAGAGGGACATTTATTTGCTCAGGCATTTTCTTGAGCAAAGTTTGCTGCATCTGAGGTGTTTTAAGATTTGACTGCTGCCACTCAGGGGCAGTATTGTGCTGCGTTGACGCACACTGCCTTTGTAATGGTAGACAGTCCTGCTGTTTTTGCTGTGAACTGTTAGACCTCTGACTGCTATCTGTGAAAACTCCAGACGCCTGTGTTTGCCTGTAATGTTGCACTAGGTTTGACTCCAATAACTGACTGCAAACCTGGGTATCTTCTTTTTGCTGTTCTGGCTGAGGCTTACCAGGGAAGTCCCTCCACATGTCTTGTTCCTGTCCCTGAGATGATGGACCACTTGTTAGTTGTTGCTGGGATTGTGAAGGATTTCCATCCATCCAACCTGTCTGGCTGGGAGTGGAACATGATATATAATCTCTACGTTGAGTGTTCTCCGTACCATTTTCCATCCTAATGTGGTGTGGCTGTTGGAGATCAGGCCCTATGTGACCAAAACCATCAGGTCTTTGTTGTTTCCCAACATTTTCTTGAAAGTTCTGAGTCTGACTTCCATAATGTTGTTCTCTGCCAGTCCCATGATGAAGAATTTGACCAACTGCTGATTTTTCTTTTTGTTTATTTTCTTGTATCCCAGAGTTGCAAAAAGATCCATATCCACCTGTCTCTGCTGTGTGTTGAGGATTACTGCGCTTCACAAAAGAGCCCAGACTAAACTCCTTCTGGTCTTCTGTGTATTTTACTTGAGGATTTGTGTCATTTGGGAAACACTGTTCACTGCTGGGATGTTGTGAGCTACCATCATTTCGTAAAGGTTGAACCATGTCTGGCAGTGGCCCCAAAGCCGACTCCTGACCAGAGTAAGATTGTGGTTGTTGCTGCTGGTGGTTTACTTCAAAGTCGTGGGAATATCCATTCAGTGAATAATTGACAGAGTTATAATTGTTGCCACCTTCAGCATCTGCAGACGTCTCAGACTGTTGTTGCTGCGAGTCAGACATGTGGGATGAGTTGGTGTGAAATTTTGAGGTTAAAGCAGTTGGCTGAGCACCTTCACTGGACAACTGACTGGTCAGTGAATCATTCACAGTGTCCAACTGGGACCCAGATGTTTGTGGTGCAATTGACACTTGTTCAGGATAATACTGAGACAGTGTTTTCTCCAACAGGTCACCTGGAGTGCTTTCTATGGTTGAGGAAGATGAGACAGCACCATTGGGAACTTGTTTATTTCGCTGTAAATGGAAAATATCCCCTTTAGGAATATGGCAATTCCTTTTATCAAAGTTGGTCTCTGTCTGTTGGGAGCGCCTTTCTGCTTCATTAAAGTTGTTCGCCAACTTATAGCTTGTGTCAACATTGCCTCTACTTTCAACATCCACTTTCATTTTCTTGGGTTGGTGGACCAATAAGGACTGCTCAGTGAGTGCACGATTCAACTCTCCATTCGTCAGGTCTCCATTCATTTTGCTCAAGCCTTGCTCTGATGCAGGGACGTTGCAGTTCTCCCTGTACCTCTTTACAGAGCTGACACCTTTGCTGGGTTTGTAATGTGCTGAGTGTGTATTCCAATTTGTGTCTTCAGTGATCTGCAGAGAATCTTCTTCTGAAGACGGAGCTCCATTCTGGAGTTTATGAGAAAAGTTACAACTTGTCTCAAATTGTGCCAACATCAGACTTTCTTCCGTCTCATGCTTGGTCTGTTCTGTTTCCATCTGGCTTGCTGAAAGTCCATACACAGGGCTGCCCTCTTTCTCTCCTGTAAAATAGAAAAACAACACATAGCATTACTTTTTTTTGTACTTTTCAATGCAGTTATACACATTCTATATCTTTAGCGGTTTACTAGCAACATTAGAAATAAGAAAATCTAGATTTTTCTTCTGCTGCTTTGAATTAAGAATGCTTGTCATAGCTGCAGCATGTGACAGAATCTGACAGCGTCTGCAGTCACTGCGAATCTTTGCAGCGCTCAGGTTGAAAGAGTCATCACTAATCTGGGTGACGTGTTTGCAGGCGCCAAAAAATAGATCCAAAAAAGTCCTTATTAAATGTTGAGTAGCTATGACAAAACTAAACTCCATGCCCATCCCAACACAGCATAGCTACATTTATTTGTTTCTGTTCATTCGTGTTCTGGAAGTGTCTCACAGCATTTCACCTATTAATTAAAAATGATCAACTTCATTGATTTTTCTTTTGGCTGTTCCCTTCTTTAGGGGTCGCCACAGTGATTTAAGTTCTTACGAAGACTTGGCAAATTAGTTTTACTCCGGATGCTCTTCCTGACTCAACCACAGACCACTGAGCTACCACAGCCCTCTGTGTGGAGCAGAGAGCCGCTATCTAGGGTGCCTGGGGGAGCAGATGGTGGGAGTTAAGGGCCTTGCTGAAGGGCCCAGGGTGGGCCAAATGAGGGTGGAGGCAGGTGTGGATGCTTCACCTACCCCACCCACATTTTGATGTCGGTACCGGAAGTTGCACTGGTGATCTTCCAATCACAGGCTCACCTTCTCTAACCTCTGCACCACCACTCTCTCAGATTGTACTATGTACTAATAGATAAAAATTCATCATATCTGAAAAACCTCAGCTCACTTTAAAAGGTTTCAAATAAGTTTTTAGAACTATAAATGTTTTAGGTCCTCCGCCTCCATCAATTATAACAATAAAAACATTCATTTAAAGGAACTAATAACTTTGTTTCTGCTACACAAATCATTCATCTATAGTCATCCATCCATCCATCATCCATCAACCCATTCACCCATCCATTCATCATTTCATCAATTCATCATCCATCTATCCATGTAACCTGCTTTTTCTTGTTCTTTTGATCTGGAAGACATTGGGAAACAGTGTATATAGATTTCAACAATCCACACTTGTATTTTTAAAGAAAATCTCATATTTGATTTTTTTTAGACCAAAAAAAAAAGCCAGCTTTTTGTACTCACAAGGCTAGCCTTTAAACAATCTTAAAACAAATCCAAAATCCTATTTGAAACTTCTGAACCTACATTGGAGCTAACTTTGAATTTCAAGGTTCTTTGTCATTCGCCTCACATATGGTATATGAGGTGGAAGGAAATTTTGTACTCAAGGTCCCAGTTACACCCAAAAATAGCAAATTATAAAATTAAAAATATAAAAATATGCACACAAGCTGTGGAGTTCATGTAAGCCTATTTCATGGGGGCAGTAAAGGTTTGAGTAAAGTCCAACAGCAGATCGGATTGGACCCGATGATCACATCTGGAGCATGTTACAGCGGTTTATCGTTCAGGAAGAGCAGCGGTTTGCTTCAAAAGACTACTTTTACGCAGTGTTTGATGAATTCTTTCAGAATAACTTTTGTGTAATTAAAATTTCCTTTTTTTCCTGAAAGTCACCATCTAGACCATATGTGTCAAGCTCAAGGCCCGGGGGCCAAATCTGGCCCTCGTTGACATCTTATCTGGCCCCCAAGATGTTATTTTAAATGTAAAATACTTTTGTCACCTGATTTTTTTTCAGTAATCTTTGATTATGATGTCAAAAGTGCAACAGAGAGCATCAAATGAGACCAATCAAACTCTTTTTTTGAGGAATCTGCAACCAAGAAAAGACGGGGGGTATCTAACTTGAGTTAATGTAGATTCTGAAACTGGCCCTTAGTTTGAAAAAGATTTAATTTTGCCCCCATTTTGTAAGTGAGTTTGACACCCCTGATCTAGACAGACAACACAAAACACAAGAACCAGCTCTCCAAACTTGACCGACTGTAGCTAACTCTTCCACTTTCAAGACAAGCTGCTACAGAAGTGTCCAAAAAGGCTCATGATTGTCAGAACCAAGCAGCTCGCTGGCTGTCAGCTGGTCCAAGATGGAAGCAGCACTCCAAAAACTTCAAAGTTCATGCTCAACAATCCGGGTAAAAAAATCCAACCAAGTTAAGTCAGGTCCTCTGGACAGTTTCTTCTTGTTGATACATTTGGTCTTTCATCCAAAAGACTTCATCATCATCACAACAAACTCATTCTTATAAATAGCACCCTCACATAGTGGGTCAACCAGTTTGATGGTGCTCCAAAGTCCAAAAACAGTTTCAACTGAGTAAAACTGAGGCTTTTTTTGTTCCCAAATATGATCTTTAATTATGAACAAAACTTTTCTTGTGACGCAAGTGTACTTTTATGGAAAATTAAAGAAAAACCACTGACGTTAAAAAAACTAACAAGAAACCCAATTTAGTTGCTCTTAATCACCATTTATATGACTAATTCAGCTTTTGGCAATATGTCTTTCCACCAAACTATTGTCGATCAATTGGGACAGATTCAAACTTTAAAGGGACAGTTCAGATTTTTGGAAGTGGTTTCTATGTAAAGTTTATGAACAGTTACTATCTTACCTGTTGAAGGTAGATTTTTAAACGAACTCTGGCTGGAGAAATAAAGTTTAATTTTGACCATACTGATGAACTAGTGGCTAACCCAATTAAGACAAAGACCAATTTATATTACTGACATCTTAAAACTCCTTCCACCACAAAAACTTCATAGGAGTTCAAGTGAACACTGTTTTATTAACCTTTGTATTGATATTATTTTGCGTTACCCAACTCTTTACAAATACATTCTGTGGTGATTTCCAAGCACCCTAGCTGCACCCTAGCCTGTGCTAGCTGTAGCATGTTCTGTGCAGCCTACTTCAAACAGGAAAACTGCTAAATGTGAAATTGATGGAGGTGTAAAAGTTTATAAATCACCACCTACATAAACTGTTACTAGGAGTTGTTTCTAGATGGCAGGAATCCAGTTCTCAGACTGGCTGCAAGCTCCTCAGTTATGTCATAATTTAACTTATTTCTCCAAAAGCCTGTTTATAACCTTTTCACTAAACCCCACTTCAGAAGCTCTGAACTATCCCTTTAAACTCTATTTTATTGAGCAGTGGGTTAACTGGCATTAAGAGGTTGAAGTGAACTACTTAATCAAAATGTTTTCAGAACAAATGATCAGTGTGGCACCAAGTCCACATCATGGCTCACTTTTATTGGTTGTTTTCATAAAACGATACGTCAGAGAGCAGAATATCCCGGTAGAACTCGTGCACAGCACCCTCCATAACCCAATGTGAACCCTCCTTTGTTTCTCTGGGGCTCAGCTCGGTCCATTAATCAGCCCCAGTGTTGGGAGGTGAACGCCGCTGCTTCAAGGCAGCTCCATTCCTAAGGGACGCGCCATAGTTTGCAAAGCACCGAACGGATCCAAGCAGCTTGTCACAGTTGGATACACCCACATAGACAAAAAAAAAATCTTTGCAAACCCAGAACAAAGCCAAGAGATCCCAGCTGTGTGTGTGTCTATCCAGGCTTTGTACAAATACACACACAGAAATAATGCAGTGATTTAAACCCAATACGAACCCAACTTTAATTGTTTGTCTTATAGACACTGGACAGCTGCACATTTGATTGACAGAGAAGTCTCATTTTGCTGCAGAGCACTAAAGTAACAAAGACAGCACAAAAGTAGCTGAAGATCATAATGCTTTGATCTATTTTTGTCTTCTTTCTTGCTGACGTTATCAGAAGAGTGCATAATCTGGTATATGACTCAGTTTATTTGGTTTGAACTGAATTCTCTCTAAATCTTTTTTCCTCTCTAGAAGTGAGTTTCTTTGTCAAAGTGTCGTTGTTTCCCTCCCTCTCTCTGTGTAATTACACGTCAGGTTCAGGTTCCTAAAGCCTGCCCCTCATCTAGTTCCTCCTGCTGAGTCCACCTCCAACCTTTACCCCCTCATCTTCCTGCTTGCACTGTCTGAATCACAGTATCTCACTTTCTCTTTAACATAATTAATTGTTAACCTTATTAAACAGCTAAATGTTGACTAGCTTGTTAGGACAATGAAAAGTTTTAGAAAAACTCAAGTTTATGACAATCAGCCGCACCAAGCTCTTATAAAAACCTGTCTGAGCCACTGAACACAAGTGTGCAAGTGTTCAGCCCTACCAGCGTTCAGTCATCTTTTAAAACACGCAGGGCAGTTTGGTAAAAGTTGGAGAACTGACGTTAAAAGACATCCTTGCACTGATGTTTGGAAGAAGAATGTAGAATGCTGTCAAATGTAAAAACACGCCATCAATGATGAAGCACGGAGGGGGATTCATTATGCTTCAACTTGGTTTTGTTGCCCATGGCATGGAGAAACGCTCAGCAATACAGAGCCCAAGCCAATTATTAGCTCATTCAAAAATTTAAAATAAAACAGTTTGTAAAAAAAAAAAAAAAAAGTTGAAGAGGAGGACGGCTTCTACGACTGATGTGGATTTAAAAAAAACCCACAAAGACCAGCTCAGGCCTCTAGTTCTCCTCATCAAAGAGTAGAAATGAGACGAGAATCTCACTGAACTATAAATCTGAGTGGAAAATCAAACTATTCTTGCAATTTGGAAATGGGGTCACACATTCTCAGCATCATAACAAAATGTTAATGAGTGTGTCCAAACAATTGTGTGCCTCTGTATTTACTGCCGGGGTTGTTGGCTTTGACTCGTTGGGTGTGACAATGAACTTGTGGAGAAAATTTTACAAAGAAATGACTGGTCTTTGCACAAAACATTTAACATGATTCTTCCTTATTCACAGTTTTAGAAGCTGCAGCAGTTATAAAGCTGAGCATGAATTAGTCAGCTACAACAATGAGTTCACACAACTTTTCAACTTAGAATGCCTGGGTGCAACAGTAAAACATGTGAGATGTGTGAAGCACCAA